ATACATTGGCCAATTCGGCGTGCCATTCCAACCCCCGTTCGCTCCATTCCACGATGTTAGTGGTGGTATGAGATGTTGGGGGGTATGTGTCAACATATATTTGTATATGTTATAGGCTAGATAGGTGCATCCTCATAGAGAGTACAACATCTTAGGACAAATCCACCCTATATTACTCATTCTAGTTCATTGCGTTATTCTGAGATGGTATCACGCTAGGTTAGGTCCCCCTCCCCGCATATACTTCTGCCCCTAGCCCTAGCCCTAGCCCTAGCCCATGTCCTAGCCATATCCTAGCCGTGCCCTAGCCCTAGCGGTACCCTAGCCGCGCCCTAGCCGCGCCCAAGCCGTGCCCTAGCCCTAGTTGCGCCCTAGCCATGCCCTAGCCCTAGTCGCGCCCACGCCCTAGCTGTGTCCGTGCCAGCCCCGTCACTTTGCGCTGGTCCTGTCAGTTCGCGCCAGCCCCGCTAGTTCGTGCTGGCCCCGTCAGTTCGCGCCGGCCCTGTTAGTTCGCGCCAGTCTCGTCACTTTGCGCCGGCCCCGCTAGTTCGCGCCGGCCCTGCTAGTCCACGTCGGCCCTGCTAGCCCATGCCGGCCCCGCCACTTCATGCCGGCCCCGCTAGTTCGCGCCGGCCCCGCTATTTCACGCCGGCCCCGCCGCTGACCCCGCCGCTGGCCCCGCTATTCCGCACCAGCCCCTCGTTCCGAGTGCTCGCACTGGCCCCCGTTCGAGCCGGCCCAAGTTTGTGCCGGCCCCTGTTCCTGCCGTGCCGCCGTGACGAAGTGTTGCGGTGCCACCGTGCTGCTGTGCTGCCGTGCTACCGTGAAGCTGTAACGCCGTGCCGCCATGCTGGCGTGAAGCCGTGCTGCGCCACGCATGCTGCTTTCCCTGGCGCTCCAACGTCTGCTGAGCGTGAGGCCTTTGCCGCTGCTGAGCTTGCCTACGCTATCTGGGAGTCACGCGACGTAGTATCGCAGCTTGCTATTAGTTACGCCCTCCCCCTGTCTGAGCATCCCCACTTTACTACTGTAGCAAATGCAAAGGAGTACTTAGATGCACTCATCGCGCGCTATTCCACTCCCACCTCCGCCTCAGCCGGCCGTCTGATCCTCCCCATGCAGTTCCCGAATCTTGCGTCCTTTCCCAGTATCGCTGACCTTGCCAATCCGCTGCGCTCTCTTGAGACTAGTTACTGCACTGCTTGCACTGAGGCCGAGCTCACTGCATTCCCTCCTCCCCTTTGCGCTACCCTATACCTCATTGCCATGCACCTTCCAGACCGCCTTGCCACTGCCCGCGACCACTTCCGTTGTTAGCACCCAAGGGACCTCACCCTTACTGCGTTTGTCAGCGCCCTATCCGCAATAGAGACTCGCCAGCACACTATCGCCTAGTCTAGCGGTACTGCGGCGGTCCCTATCTTCCAGGGTTTTGCTCCCTCCCAATGCACTTACTCTGACGTCTCTGCCGTTGTTGTTGAGATGGCCCTTGCTACTGAGACCGTTGCGGCCACCTCAGCTTATGCTCGTCAGGGTAGGGGACACCGGGCCAGGGGGGGGGGTGGGGGGCATGGCAGCGGGAGGGGTGGTGGGGGTGGCGGAGGAGGCGGAGGTGGCGACGGTGGTGGAGGGGACGGTGGTGTAGACGAGGGGACCGGGGCTAATGCCCCGGTGCAGCAGCAGGAGCAACAGCAGCAGTAGCCCCAGCAGCAGCAGCACTTGCAGCAGCTGTGGGGACCCCCGCTGCTGTGGTGGCCCGGCAGCATTGGTGGTGGTGGTCGTGGTGGTGGGCCGCGCATCTTGGTGTCAGGTGGCGGCTCCAGTGTAGTGACCTGCCAGAACCAGCTTCAGTCCGGCCCCCGCCGCGGCTCCGTCGGCGACCGTCCCGGTCACAACCCCGCCCGCTGCTACCGCCGCCTTGGCGACCTCTTCCGTCTCCGCTTCAGCCCTGTGTCGGACCCCCCCGACAGGTACATCCTGGTACGTCGCCGTGTGCCTGTCTTTGAGTTGGATATGGATCATATTAGGTCTGCTATATATGTCATGTATGCTGATGACTTAAGTATGAATGGATGCTATTACCCTGTGTTGCCTAGTGTAGGTGTGTCCACTGTGTGTAGCCTAGGTTCCCCTGCTGCGTCATGCGATGGACCACCTGCCTTGTTTAGCCTCAGCTCCACTCTAGCCCCACCGCATTCGGACGCCACCACCCCGCTCTCTTTCACGCTAGACTTTGGTGCGTCCGCCTACTTCTTTCCCGACCACACTGCGCTCACGCCGCTTGCCGCCCCTGCTGCTGTAGCGCTTGCTGACCCCTACTCAGGTCCGGTAGTTGCACGTAGCTCCACTACCCTTCCATGTCCGGTGGTTCCCTCGGGCCTGACGTTCTTATCCCGTGTGTTTAGGGTTTAGGGTTTTGGGTTTAGGGTTTAGGATGTGCAAGCCTCTGGCACGGACATATCACTACCCGAAACCCTCCGGCTCCCTTACAGGCTTGCACATCCCCTCGTTCTCCAGGAACCTAGTCGGTGTCGGCTGTCTTCAGGACCTCGGCGTCACCACTACGTTTCCTGGACACAAACGGTACGCATTCTGCAAGGAGGCCGCCACTGCTGCCCCTCTCACCACGTTACCCTGGGACCCGGTGTCTGGCCTCTTCACTATAGACACCGCGTCCCCCTCGGCGGGAGCGTCCCCCCAGGTGGTCGCACCCTTCCAGATCGCCGCGGCTTGCTCGTGTCGGTCGCTCACCCACCTGTCGCTGCTGTGGCACCACCACTTAGGCCACCCTGCACTCCCACGTCTACGTTACATGTCCCAGCATAATCTTTTCGTAGGTCTCCCTGCGTCATCCAGTCGTACACCCTGCAGGACTCACCGCAGCAGAATGGGGTCGCTGAGCGACGCATCACTTTGGTCATGGAGGTGGCTCGTACCTCCATGATCCATGCCGGTGCACCCCATTTTCTATGGCCGTTTGTTGTTCGCTACGCTGCTCCCCTGCTTAACATGTGGCCATACTCTCAGGGGCCACAGGTTTCGCCGACCCTCCTATGGACAAGGTCCTTTGGTGACGCGTCTGCGTTTCACGTCTAGAGCTGCCTCGCTCACGTTCGAGCCTCTGGCACAAACATGCTCACTGCCCAGAGTGTTTTATGTGTCTTCCTTGGCTTCTCCCAAGACGCGTCTGACTGGCACTTTTATCACCCTCCGTCTCACCATTTCTTTCACTCTCACGACGTCACGTTTGACGAGTCAGTCTCCTATTATACCCGCTTTCCTCACCAAGGTCTCCCGGTTGCCCCGCCCTTGTTCCTGGTCCCCACTCCCCTGGTAGCCCCTGCTCCTCTTCCTCCCCGTCTTGCCATGTCTGGTGTGTCTCACGTCACTCCCCTCCCGTCGGTCGTCCCGGTGGAGGATTTGGCTTACTCTGGGGGCTCTACGGCTCCAGGTTTGCTCCTCCTCCGCCACCACAGCCGTAGTCGCCGTCGCTCCCATAGCAGCCGTCGCCGCAGCTGCAGTCGCCGTCATAGCTGCTGCAGCAGCAGTCGTCGTCGCCACACTGGTTTGAGATCTCTGGAAGTGTGGGCGTTGAGGAGCGTGCTCATTCTGGGGGTGCTGGTTCTAGGAGTGCTCGTCCTGGGGCTACAATCATGGCTTGTCCCGGCAGTCCTGGGGGTGGCACGGGTGCTTGACAGGTTTCGTCTTCTTGGGGTGTCGGCGTGGAGCGTCCCAACCATAGCCGTGGTGCAGCTGGAGGTTCTGGAGTCGGCGTGGAGCAGCAACAACAGTAGTCGCCGTCGGTGTCCGCCCTTCGCCTCTTGGGTCTTCCTTCCCCCAACCACCCGTCTGCTTCTCCCCCGTTGCCACCCTCCCCACCCTTCTACGGCCCTATGTTTTCTCCTTTGGAATCGTCCCTGGCTCGTTTCCTCTTTCGTTCTCTTGCTGTGTCTTCTCCCTTGTCGCCAGACCCAACCCCCCCCTCCCACTGGTGGTCTCACCTTGCCTTTCGTGCTTGTCCTGTCTCTCCTATTCAGTCCTCTCAATCTCTGTTGCTCCGTTCTCACACATCGCCTGCTCCCCTTCTCCTATGACCTCCTCAATCATCCCTTGTTGTCTCCCCTCCTTCTCTCTCCGACTTCCTCCGTGCTGCTAGTCCACTTGTCCATCGTATTCTCGCTTTTTTTGTTACCGACCCATCCGTTCCTGTCTCCAGTCTTGACGCTCTTCTCACTGCCGTCGCTTACTTTGCCTCTACGTGCTACCTTGACTATGCCACCGCTCTGGTTTCTGACCCTGCCCGTCCTCCGTCCGTCGGGGGTGCATCTGCCCTTGGCAGTGACATTCTAAAGGATAGGCAGTAGAAGCTCACTCTCCTGTCCGAGGCCGCTCCCCATCTCAGCTCCATGTTGCTAGTCCCTGAGGGTGGCCCAGACGCCATTGACATCCCGCCACCTTGCACTTACGCTAAGGCGACCTCGAGACCCTGGGCCTCTCAGTGGATTGCTGCGATGGATGCTGAGATGGCATCTTGGAGATCTACCGGCACCTACGTTGACGCAGTTCCCCCACTTGGGATGAACGTAGTCGATGGCCAGTGGCTCTTCAAGGTGAAGCGCCCTCTTGGAGAGCCGCTGGTTTTCAAGGCGTGCTACGTTGGTAGAGGCTTTAGTCAGGGCAAGGGTGTGGACTTCTTTTAGACCTTCGCCCCAACCTCGAAGATTACCACTCTTCGGGCGCTACTACACGTAGAAGCACAGCATGACTACGAGCTCCACTCCCTCGACTTCTCCACAGCGTTTCTCCAGGGCAGTCAGCACGAGCAGGTCTACCTGCACCGTCCGCTCGGCTTCACCGGCACCTTCGCCCTTGGTACCGAGTGGCTCCTCCGACGCCCGGTTTATGGCCTGCGGCAAGCGCCCCGTGAGTGGCACGACTCGCTGCATGCTACGCTGGCTGACCTGTAGTTGTTCCTGCCGTCTGTAGACCCCTCGCTCTTTGTTTGTTCTTGCTAGACCCCATTCTATATCCTTGTCTACGTAGACAACTTGGTCTTCACTACTGCAGACGGAGATGCACTGGCCTCTGTGAAGGCTAAGCTGCTGAGGAGACACACCTGCACTAACCTAGGAGAGCTGCGCCACTACCTAGGGCCGGAGATCTCCAGGTACAGAGCAGCGTGCACCATCACTCTTACACGATCACACTTGGTGCGACAGGTCCTTGAGAGGTTTGGTCTTAAGTTCTCCTCCGCACAGCCCTTACCTCTACAAGTAGATCACAGGCTCTCGGCTCCAGTCCCTGAGGAGTTTGTAGAGCCGAGTGGTCCTTACTTATACTCTAGCTGGAGGGTTGCCTTATGTACCTAATGACTTGCACTCGTCCTAATCTCGCATACCCTCTCAGCATCTTGGCTCGCTATGTGACCACAGGTAGACACCGACCACAGCACTAGTCGACCGCTATGAGGGTTTTGAGTTATCTAGCAAGTACATCTCGCATGGAGCTAGTGCTAGGAGGACGCAGGCCAGTGGTCCTTGCAGGGCACACAGACACTGGGCAGACGACGCTGAGACCCTCAGGTCCTCCCAGGGCTACTGCTTTAGCCTTGGTGCAGGTGCCATCTCATGGAGGTCCACCAGCTCGTCATATGTTTCCTTGTCTAGCTATGAGGCTGAGATCTATGCTGGTGCCATGGCGGCACAGGAGCTTTGCCAGCTGAATTTCTTGCTCACAAACTTAGGTGAGTGGCCTTGCTCTGCCCTGGTCCTGTACGCTGACAACAGGGCCATGATCATCTTGTGTCAGGAGCCTCAACTAGAGGCCAGAGCGAAGCACATCTAGCTGCGGTACTTCCTCCAGCATAAGCTACAGCAACGCTGCCAGGCTCTCGTAGATCACTTGGCCTCCGGTGCCAGCACAGCTGATATCTTTACCAAGGCGCTTGCGCCAAAAGATCATCAGCGACACCGTGTACAGCTTGGCATAGTTCCTGTAGCTTCTCACTTGCTAGGACCTTGATTGTGTACTATATCTTATATTACCTTGTCGGGCCTTTTGGCTCCTGTTCTAGTGGCTGGATGAGTCGTGCCGCCCTGTGTTACTCTTGTTTCCTTTGTACTCTTGCTGACTGGTCTTCAGACCCTTGCCTCAGATGTTGGACTAGTAGTGCCACCCTTAGCTGTTTGTTTCTTGCTAGTCATTGCCCCTTGTCTAGCTTAGGGGGTGTGTCAACATATACTTGTATATGTTATAGGCTAGATAGGTGCATGCTCATAGAGAGTACAAAACCTTAGGACAAAACCACCCTGTATCACTCATTCCAGTTCATTGCGTTATTCTGAGAGTATGGCACAAAGTTTGCCCCTGAGCTCTGGGCAGCATGTTTTGTGTGCTGTGAGGGGGAACGGGAAGAGGCACGCGACTTGGGAGTTTGAGGTTCGGAAATCGCCAACTATCCCAACATCGTCGCATGCTGGCATCATGCATCGCACTTAACTTTTGGCCACCCAAAGAACTTTTTTTTTCCGCATGCCGGTACTTCCTCTTCGTGCCACTTTAAAATTGGCCAGCGAACGGCCCCAGACTTCAAGCATGGTGGGATGTGAGTGGTTGGGTACTTAGACCGCCTTCAGAAGTTTGGACGACAACCGAAGTTTGGACAAGAGAGGAACTTCTCCTTTTTCTCAAGATGGCGGTCTAATTAGCAGGTATGCTCGTGTTATTAAAG